TACGTACCATAACAATCATGCTTGAAACTAATTATTATATTACACACTCAATAATCAATCATTTTCTGCAATGTCACCGTTGACTAACACTAGAACCTTGATTACAAGAGCATCCATGTGATGATTCAATTCAATAGCATGAGTAAATCAAAACCTGCAGAAGGCATTCAAAAATAAGGCACTTCAACACACAACAAAGATCCATTAAACATTGTTTTTTTTCTCACGAGACAAATATTGGCCGTTAGCATTATTCCTATGTTGTTTACCTATATACAAGCATGACTAAACATCCACAATAACAGATTACGACTCCTTTACTCACTTTCGCATTTATTTTGAGGTCAAAAATTATTTATCAGTGATATATCTAATATATAAAGAAACGTAAGCGCAATTCAAAAATCTGCAAATAGCGGGAAACCGCGTGGCGTCCCGAAGCGAATGCTCTTTGGTTCACTAGTGTAATGTGAAGGGATATTGCGTTGTAGCTTATATAGCCAGACAGATCATAACCATCTATCGATTGTGATGCCAAATTTATACTGAAAGGAAGAATTCTAAACGCTTCGCATGACATTGCACATATTCATGTCACCAGCTTGGATTTGCTGAACTTTTTGAACTTTCTTTGCAAAAGTCGCTAGAGTTTTAAGCGGTTCAATTCACCATCTTGAATGGTTTTTGCAAAAGAGCTGATCTAAACTCACTTTTTCTTTCACTAATACGCAGAAGCAAATGCACGAATGCGATAGACAACGCACTTATCAATAGGCTATGACGAGGGTAGGGGTTTTCTAATGTCTTTGCGTAAGCATCTAAGGACATTTCGGTCAGTAGATGGTTGACAGTACAATTACAAAGATCCTAAAGCAGCATCTGCAAAGCTAATAGCTTCTGAGGCTTGTTTCGGGATTCAGCTTCATTTAAGGAGAGGCCGAGGAAGCTTGGATTCTTACTAGCTAGTAAAAGTCAGTCTTTTCTAGAAGACCGAATGAATTGAAAATTCTCGAAGAAATGCCGATTCTTGATTTGCATGCATTCGGTGTCTTGATTGTAACGGATGATAACATCAGAATTGATCTTTTTACCTTATGACCTATAAAACTTCTTTTTGAAATCTTCCGAAATACTTTCAACAATCAGATTTGCAGTACAATTACAGAAGAAGCTTCTTTCTTTCGAGAGAAATCTCATTGTACAAGTGAACCTATTATGCAAAAAAATTTAACATCCGAATCTTCAAGTAATTTTTGACAAAAACAGTGATTTCTGGATACGGCGTGGCTGCAGTTACGCCTGACAAACCATTTTTGCATTATTAATTATTGGAATTTTTAGAAGTATCGCAATTGTTTCAATTTAAAAAAAATATTTTGATTATTCACGAGTACGAGCAAATCAATTGCACACTTTTGCAGCTTATGTAAGAACTTTTGAAAATTTCGCGATCCATAAGTGCTAGGCAATGCCCCTCGGTCCACCACTGCCTTGCACTTATTGGTGGAATAACTGTTGCTTTTCAATTATGGCAAAGTAAATATGCGCCAAGTTTGTAGTTCTATGCTGAAGCTGTCTTGATAGCGTAGATCACAAACTTCTGTACATTCAAGGCTGCTAGTATCCTTTTAATAACGAATGACACTAATTAAGCGTTTACTCGCGAGAAAAGGCTCACAAGTGCTCCCGTTATGAGAGACCGCATTCACAGCTACATTTCTGATTCCTCAATTACTTGGCAAGAGATGACGTAGCATTGACTGCCAATTAGTGATCACTTAGATGGACTGATTTTTTTTGTTTTCCGGAGGTGTAGGGACTCAAAGTTGTAAGTCTTCAAATTTTCAGAGCAACCATAATCGAGAGAAAAAAATCAGATGTAATTGTGATTGTGATTGGACAATACAATAATCAGGTCCTAGCAAAGTCCTCAAACATGCTAATGTTACATTTTTGCTGTTTTCGCTGCTTTTTCCGGTTTTCGACCTTTTCAAGTCTTCGGCGTTTCTCCCACTCTAAGTGCGAAGTGAGAACAGATTAGGAATATGAAACGAAGCCACCCACTTCTCGCTCTTGAAATCTTTGCATACAGCAAACAAATTCCTTTTCTATAGTGGAGGACCCTTCTCAGCTTCTGGTTTAAAACAAAGTTCTGTGTTCAGCATGTAAAAAGGATGGTAGCATTTAGTTTGGATTAAATGTGACATTCAGCAGACAGCTCACTTCTTTGAATAGCTAATGCTCTTAGCCATTGTAGGGATCTGGAACGAAAAAGTTTCACCTTTCCCTTTCAATAAAATACCAAGGTCGAAAAATCACATCGTCATAACATGGCTCATCACGATTTGTGAAGTTGACATTTACATTCGTTATGTAGCATTTACTTCTTCCGCAGGGTAAAATTCTGGTCTCAAAGTTCTTGTCTATGTAAGGTTCGCATCTGATGGACTTTGGAAGTTTGCGTTGTAGGCCAGACAAATGAAGTGACACTTTCTTTCTTATACGATTTTGATTTTATTGTTGTTTAGTGGAACCGCACCATTGCAGATAACCAGTCTATGCATTTGCAGAAGTTGGACTTGTCTACAAAATCATCGAAATAAAAAACGAAAAAAGCGGTTAATTCGTTAATGGAACAAACAGCTCTATTATACATTCAATTCAATGTTCACTGCAAAACTGCAACAATGCATCAGCTGAAAGCCTTTATATCTATTAGATCTAAGTGACGTCTTTTAAAACGCTCTAAGTCTGCATTAGCTTTTCATTGAAATTGCAGACAGTTGATAAGGGCGGTGCATCAGAATCTCAATTTTTCGTGGTAATCTTGAATTTGTCTCCACCTCTACTGCATCGAAAAGATTTAGAGAAACGTCCACGTAGAAGATCTGATGGAGGACACAATGGCGTAAACACATCAAACGCCTACGCAGTAACCTTGCGCAAAAAATGCAGGAATGAGGTTTCATTCTTCCCCGTTTCGCCCTGACACAGAGGGTAGAAGGAGAAAAATATTAGAGGTACTTCAGAGAGCAGTAGTAAAGAAAAGCGATAGAAAGAACAGAAGGAGGTTAGAAAGATGAAGAAGAACGAGGAACGCGCACGGAGAAAGAGAAGTTGTAAAATATGATTAAGAAAAGTAGCGGTGAGAAGATATAAAAGTTTTGAAGAGGAGAAATGATGGAGAAGAAGTTGAACAAACGAGTTCAAAAGAAAATTTTAAGAACCCTCTTTCATTAGCAGCGTTGGTCTCATTGTTCTCATAAAACAAGATTTACGGATCGCCTTCCACGCTTCTCTGCAATTTGCATATGAGCTGAAATGCCTCGCATACCCCTTGATTCTGTAAATCACCCATATTTTTTCACGAGGTTTCAATTGTTTGCCATAGTCGAAAATAGCTATTACCTCACTCTCAATGTTTTGCGTAATTCAAGTAAAAATTTTGCACTTATGAAATCCCCGGGTGAATCAGGAATTACTTCTTGTGCGAATGCATCATTACTGTCGTGTCTCAGGATTTTTGCAAGCAAATACTGGAACGATAAGTTAGTCGTTTATTACACTAGTTACCTGTTTGTATCAATCATCTGCAAAACCTTATGCAAGGTATCATTTACGTGTGCAAAACAAATATAATACCTTGCCAACAAATGTAGACTAATTCAAAAGTCTGGCATTTCTTCTAATGCACATCGACTCAAAAAGAATTTTAGTTGAGAATGAGGCGAAATTGTTGCCATTCTGGCAAATTAAGGATATCACACTTAATTCGGGACAAAACTAGGGCGCTATCTGTGAGTTTTCCGATCGCAAATTGAAATCTGATACAAAGTGACACCGTAACCTTTCGTGATAGGCAGTGACTCCGATATAGTTAATCAGTGCTTTGCAGAGAAAATGGAACAACTTTTGCCCTTCAAACTGGCTACCGTACTCTAATTCGATACTGTATAAATTTTTACGCGCGCACTGTGAGTAGTTAGCTATGACAGCACCGGGCATTCAGTAGGCATCCAAAATGCATATCATTTCGATGTCACTTGCGAACATCACATTTTTCTAAATTGGGACGAGTTTCCCACGTTCCTGCCAAAGGTGCGATATTAGTAGTTGCATTTCGAGAGCTGCAAGTTGTAGAACAAAGGCCAAGCGATTGTAGCTACAATGTGCATTGTCCGGAATTGCTGGCTTGGAGAGACGATGACTCGATGAGATTCCACTGCATAAGGGAAAAGTGTTGAGACAAAAACTTATATTTGGATCAAAGTTGCAAATAAGTGAAAAAACAAAAATCCACATCCTTGCGCATTACTTAAAAGGCAGAATTGAGATGGTGATCACTTTGGTGTGACATAATTACAGACTCAAATAACAGCGGTTTGGCTCAAAAAATCAAAGCAAAAAAGGGCGTCGAATGCGGGATTTCTCGCACTATTTTGCACCTCTTACTTAATCCGTCGAATAGCCTGAACGAATCTAGCTGGCAAAGGTTCAAGCTGATCCTAAAAGTAGGAACATAGAATATCAACGCAACATTCTACCGTGACAAAAGCCTTCAATGAAGTTTAAGAGAATGCTCCAGACGAATGTCATCATGTGCAGCACACATTTAAAAGGTGCTAAAATGAATATTTAGTAGAGTAGAGTGACTCTGAGCAGAGCTACATATATCGAATGTGTTTATTTTCTTTAGGAAGTGTATCTTTTGCAGACTTCTTAACATCTACTGCTCTATTTAGCAACTTTTTGCAGCAAAGTAAATCTCTAGCGCAGATTAGTTTATAACGTTGAAAAACTGTTTACAAAAAACTAATCGATGTTTTTTTAAGTTGGCACAAAAGTTGTTGCTAGAAGCTTTCTCTTTCTCTTTGTTACGATGACGTGAAAGGTCGTGGTTGCCGCGTTTCGAAGGGATCTAATTGGTGTAGACGAGCTTAGCGCCGCCCCTGTGCCATATAAGGGCTGGAGATCAGGTGCAATCACTCTATCTAGTGGCCATGCAGCTAGCGTTGATATATCTCCCGTGTCTATTCACACTCGCTGAGACTGTGCTCGAAGAATGGCCACTAGAACGAAGGAGCTACGAGGAAAGCCCAGCCCAAGCAGCTGCTGACATTCCCATCTCGGACTATCGCAAACGAGCAAGTTCTGAAGCCCTATTCACTCGAGAACGGCGCGTGCGGTTGTGCGGCAAGAAAATCATAGAACAATTGCTGCTGATCTGCGATTCTTGTATACTTCCAGCTGGGTCTGAGATCGTCAAACGTTCTGATCAAAGTGAGTTTCATTTCTCTTTTTTAGTGAAACAAGATACCCATTAGTAGACCTGATATCCAGCTCTCGCTCTTGAGAACTGCTTATCAACCCACTGATGACAACGAGATTTTGCATACTTTCCAATCATCAAATTCTGACAGCTCCCATCATCATAGGCGGCATGCTTTTTCAACCCATATAGTTTCTAACAAAAGAGCCAAAGTTTGTAGAATTGCTGGAACCCTCTCGTCTGCGAGGTCTTGCGAAAGTATGAATAATGAAAGAAAGTCTTTTGAAAGTAGCGCTTTCACAAGTGGCCGCGTTGTCTCTTGTCAACGAGTCAAAATTAGAAAATTTCTTCACATGATCTAATTTTCACTCTCTTTCTCTCATTACTCCGTATAATAATACTTCTCCAACACACATCTGTCAGATTGTCAGTTTCACGATTTTAGACAGCGTTCGTCAAGCTACGAGACGGCTCATGAAACGGGAATTATCCATCGCCACGAAATGTTGCGTTGATGGGTGCAGCTTGTCAGAACTGGAGCAACTGTGCTGCAAAAGCGGATAGGGGCCCGGGCAACAGCATTTGCATGGCCCTGGGAACCTGGAATGCGCTCCTGTATTGCATTCGAGTCCATGCAATTCTTCTTCGTAGACTAGGCTGTCGTTAGCTTAGGATTCGTGCGTGGCTTTCCCATGCACTTATTTTTGTTTGAGCTAGATATCAGCCTGCAGCGCAGAAGCCTTGATCCAATTTCTGACGCTTTCGAACAGTTCTTTCCTTAGTTTTTACGAGCCGCGATTGTGACATAAACCTGCTCTACTTCTTCTTCTTCTCTTACCTTCCTAGGAATAAGAATGAGGTTGATAGTTTCGGTGAATTAGCTTACGGGTATTGCTTAGTTGTTAGCAGTGAACATTGTCGTCTTGCAAGATCCTTGACGATTACGTACTTTGTTTCTTCCACTTCTAGGCATCACGGGAATATTCTAGTCCTTTCGTATAGTGTTGTATAAAGTGAAGGAAGGCCTCTTTCTCTTTCTGCTGGCACCACCACTAACTAAGGCTCTGCAGTAAAGATAATCTCTTCATTTGTTTTCTAGGTTTGTTACTTTTCCCTGCTTTCTGATTTATGTTCGTGCTGTACGGGTTGTGGCACCTGTTCTCATTTCTATATAAATGTTATATTACACATCATTGTTCATATCTGATTGCTTGAATTTTGTGCAATAGACAATTTTTGGAGCCATAATGACAAGGCAACTCGTGCTCACTAGAATCTATTTAATTTTTATTTTATTTATTTTTATTTTACTAATACACTCAGTGTGCACCAAACAAAGAACAAGAAAAAACAGGAAAAAAACAGGAAAAAAACTATTGTCCATATTGTCCAAAAAACTATCTATTGTCAGTTAATAAAACAAGTTATGACTATTCAGAGTTTTTAGGTTATCAAAAGTAAGCGTACAGTAAAATACGTAGGCAATCGTAAAAGGTGATGCTTTCCTGCGATAATTGAAACGAACACATAAGAACCCTCACAAATTGACTGCACTCTAGCGATATTCCTAATTATTGAACAATGAAAAAATTAGCGTCACCCTCCCTATTTCTAATCAACAAAATTTCTGAGATTGATCAAGGTTTTCGTTGTAATAGCTTGGCACCAAGCAGCGAATCTTTTCAAAGTTTTTTTTTCAATCAAAAAGTTCTCGGAGGCTATGACTGATATGCTTTCAAACCTTTATATCGCATTTATGCATTCTTATCTATTGAAGATGAAAAAAATTTGCCCAGTACGATAAGTTTTCACCATTTTCGCAATTTTTAAAAATAATTTAAGAATCTAAAAGTTTATTTTGACCTTCCATAAAATTCCTTCAGTGCCAACCTCTAGAAGTCAAGAAAAACAAACCTTGAGAGTCTTGAGTGCATGTGAACGATAGTGAATGAGAAGAAGCGTGAAAAACGAGTTTCAAAAACGTCGTAATATGAGTTTGGAAGTTCCGCGTGCAATGTGGTCTTTATTGGAAAAATCGAAATACCAGTCTAATTATGCGGCACAATCGTTTTTTCTGATTTTCGATTTCTAGAGTATTCTCCTAATGAATGAAGCACAAGAAGTTGCCATAAAGCACCGATGCACTTTTCATGAAATGAAATGCATATGATATTGTTAAAGCTGAAAGAACTTGTAGAACATCAAATATGCTTGTTCCAACTTGGTAATTTAAGCTATTCATCAACTTGAGAGTGTAGGCATGAGAGCCTTAATTTAAGTCATCGGCGTCGAGTTAAGTATGATAAATTTTCTTCGACTTCTTTGCAGGCAACTGAGTGATTATTCAAATTTCTTACCTGATTTTATGAAGGAACTCGCTAATTTATAAAACGCGGAAAAAAGCTCTTTCAAAGCTAACAATTGAAAAATTGGCGCAATTGCTAAAGCTTTGCAGTAGATTTTTCATGAACACCTATATATAAGAGTACTGTAGCAATAACAACAGTTTGACATTCAACAGTACATTTTCCACACTCTGTGGGAGCTCTGTTTTTTCTTTGGTTCTTATTACGCTCTGCAAAAAAGGAGAGAAGATATGCGTATGAGCTGATGGTCCTAGAGAGTAGTTCAGGAATTCGAAAGGCCAATTCTCACCTTTATACAAACTTTGGTTCGATAGCAGTTTCAATAATCAACAGCATGGCTGGAGCTGTCTTTTCTTCAGCCCTACAAGTTTCCTGCGATGTTAAATTTATTTCTGGAAGACCATTTAAAAGAGCTTTTCAAGAGCCTTCGAACACATAGCAACTCCTGAATATTTGGTTTTTTTTTCGAAATCTGATGATTCAAAAAGTGAGTTTCTAAGCTTCTGGCGAGCTTGTTCGCAGGTGTTTCCATGCACACAACTTTTTATGGAAAGTGTACCAACAGTAGTCTAATAACAGTCACAAGCGCAAGCCCTTGTTAATGGAGCAGTTTGCTAGACGAAGAATCAACTGTACCAAAAGCATGTATCTCGCCTTTTGATCTCGGAATCCATGATTAATGAGTTTTTTACACCAATCCCCAATAAATCCAATTCAAACGGGATGCTATCTGTCGCTGCAGAATTCAACCACATGCACGAGCCGTGCGGAGTGTCGGAAAAAGAAGTCTGATTCCCACATACACGTGCGAAGGGCGTTCCCCTTACTTCGCTCCCCGTACGTGCACTTTCACCACATAATGCGCTGTAATCAAAACTATATGAAAAAGTGACTACATAGATATCGTGGGCTATCTGGATATTCTGTCGAGGTAAAAGCATGAGAATTAGAGAGCTATAATGGAAAAGCTTTTAAAGCTAGAATTAAAGTTGCATTTGCTTTCATATAGTTGGATTGTGGTTCAAACTGTAGATCTCCAAAACCAAGCAAAACACGAATTTAACTTTTGTTTCTATTTTAAGGAGCCTTATTTTGACATCGAAAATTCGGATATACTGTAATGAAATTTGGTCGCGTCATTATTGTGAAATTCGCTAAGGAAGAAATAGTAATGCAACAAAAAATATACAAACGAGTGTCAGTGGAAACATGAACATCGCCCACTCCAGATCACAAATCAGTCTTATCAAATTCGCCATTCATATACATACAGGGTGTCCCAAAAAGATGTGTACACGGTTTGATCGTTAATAACACCCTCTTGCTTTCATATCTTTTGCCGAACTTGAGGTACTACTCTTTGGAGCGAGGTTTAACTTAGATTTGCAGTATGAAGCAAATTATCAGCCGCTCTTCATTAGTGTAGGACTACGGTAGGAACTTGAGAGAACTTTAATCCATTGTAAGCGGTGCCTCAGAAAGAAAGCCAAACAAGCCAGATACTCTTGAGCTGGGTTGATGGAAGTAGGTGATTCTAAATATGAAAATTGCACTTCAGTATAGTGCTTCTTTCATAAGTTTCAGATTTAGGGTGACAACTGTTTTTCCAACGTTTGTCAGAACTTGAGTATGCCATCAGAAAGCTCGAAAAACTGGCGGGAAGCTATGTAGTGAAATCAGTAGGCCTTAAAACTTGCTACACAAATCTTTAGATCTTTCGAAATTATTTCATTAAAAGGCCTACTCCATAGTAACACTGTATGCTAAAAGCTCATACCGTAATCCTACAGTAATAAAAATCAATTGGTGACTCGCTCTATAGTACTGCAAATCCAAGTTGAACCTCGCTCTATAGAATGGTACCTCAGGCTCGACGAAAGACATGGAAGCAAGAGAGTTATTAACGGTCAAACGGTATGTACATTTTTTGGGACACTCTGAATATGAGCTGTGAGAATAAAATTTTATTATAGGACCTGCATAAAACTTGAAAACTTTGTAAGAAGATCAAAATTACTTATAGATCGACTTCTACCATTACAATCAATACAGACTAACATCATCCTGGCAAAATCAAATGTTTGAGTGCAAGTAACCTTTGATTCAACTAGCTTGGCTTCGGAAAGGCGGACCTCTATGGCGTAAAGATTAACGACCGCTTGACACACATGGTGTGTCAAGATATAAATTCAGTAAAACAGCGGCTATCCTGGGGCAAACTCGCTTCAGGAATTTTCTTTTGTGTTAGATCTATAAGTAACCTCCATCTAATCTGTCAGGTTCACAGAGATAGTGTAGGTGTACTGCATATGACAATATACATGATTTTATTTGGAAAATACTGGCTGATCTGTGAAAAGCCTTGGTCCCAAAAGGCAGACAACTCAAAATCTGCATTTATACCTCCGTTACACTCTGGTATAAATACCATTTTGAACAACTGATTGTTACAAGGGGCTATGGATCAGGGTTTATTTGTCGCAACTGGAGCGGATAATTGTGTAACGAGTACAGTTAAGTGCTAAAGAGGAGCATGTCAAGCTTAAGCAGCAGGCACTCGATATTACAGGAACCACAATCTCACATGAAAATCTCGAAGGGTTTAATATTGTACCAAATAGTTGAAGAGATTGCATCTTGGGCGAGGCTACACTTTGCGGCCAAGCATTGGACTACAGGGCCCAAGAACACGTTCAAAGAAGAGGAGGCTTATTTGTATCACAAATTGAACGGCATGATTCTACATGGGATAATAGCGAGTAGGTACAGATAATCGAGTTCAATGAGGTGTAGAACAATAGTAGGTATGTCTATAGCCACCTGCCGAAGAATAATCGCACGTGACGCTGGTTAGACAACACCGTAGTGATGCTGGTAGAGGACCGAGGCAGGACGTGGCGTTGTGAGGCGTCCTTTCCAGAGCAGTAAGCTTCCTGGGTTATTCTTGAATTAGAGAAGTGGATTCCTGAAAAAAGGGATGTTGCGTTTGGTTGCGTGCCCTATAAGACCACAATTATTCCTGCAGCACAGCAGACACATCCTGGCCGAGGCTCACATGCAAGAAGTAACAGAGCTAGCAGTTCCTCGGTCAGCCCTTATAAACGACTATGAGAACACTACGGTGGTCACCCAGAATGGAAAGAAATGTGACCATTCCTGCGTAGACGGCACCAGGCACCAGGCAAAGTGCTTACTTGCCTTCGATTTAGCAACTTAGCTATAAGAGACTCAAATGTTATGGAGTTGTAGAACGCCGATCTATAGTCATCTCACGTGATGATGGTACCAAGAGAGCTTTTCTACCTTTTTTTTTCTTTTTTTTTCACATCTGATGTAAAACTTGCGATAGACTTGCTCTTTTTTTTTTTTTTTTAAAGAATCACCTCTAGAAGAGAGACAGTGGGAACTAGAGAACGGCTTCGCTGTGAGGGGTCAAAGGTCAGGCGTGATGCTGAAAAGACATCTTGCCCCTTATGATAAAGCAAGCTGGGCCCATTTGTACCCTAGATACGACTATGGAGGTGCAACTTCTTGCGAAATAGCTACCGCTGAAAGTAAGCCTGCGCTGTTCCCTGGATATCCTCGAGTTTCCAAGAGGGGCGAACAATCCTGTGAAGTGACATTTGAGGCATAGTGGCCCGCAAAGTGCCCTATAATTCATAGCACGAGGTATCATATTAGAAACTTTGCCCGGAAGG